TGAAAAAAGGCCAGTTGCTGTTTTAGAAATATTGTTTTATTGCTGTATGTTTAACGTCATCGGTTTAACCGCAGGAGACTTACACCAGTACAATTAAAGGTACATTTTATTGAGCTGACCACGCATTTTTGAATTTCCCCCCTTAAACAAACAGGGGGAAATGGGAAGAGAACGTCAGATTAGACAGGTTTCCTTCAGTAAATCAGGAATATAGAACATATAAACTATTTTTAATTGCAATTAGTCTTTTTTTCCTTTTCAAAAGCTAACATAAATAATGTTTTTTTAAAATTATTATTATCTAACTGATTTAAGGTTATACCAAAGCCATTTTCACCATTTCAAGTCTAACACGACAAATATCATGATGTTTTTGTTATATCTCTTGAGTATAAAATTGATTTGTATCTTTTCCAAGAATAATCTGCAGTGACATGCTATCTAACTTTATGTGTTCTATGTAAGCCACCTGCTCTACCATTACTTCAGAAGTTAATTCAACCACTTTAAGTAACCATTTTTTCCCAACATTTTAAGCTGGGCTGCTCATTGAACATTTTCTGCTTTCAGCCAAAACTAGATATTTCAGCAGAATAACATCTAACAGCTGCAAAGTTTTTGGTTCCTCTGTTTTAACCAAAATAAACATTCCCCTCTATTTTCAATTTCTTCTAACAATAGAAGAGACAAGTAAGCAACTAGTTGTGTTTTTTCAGATAAGAGCAGCTGAGATCTATGGTGGCTGAGGGGGGCCAAGCTTATTAATATATAATATCGCAGTAAGTTTAAAAAGTCCGGCAATCACAAATCTGTATTTGCAGCTCTATGACAGTCTGCCCCTAGTGGTCAGGAGTGCTGAACTTTTCTTGATTTATTGTCTCTATTTTGCTACTTGCAAAATGTTTCCTTTACATGTGTTTTGTGTGTTAGCATCATTTATGTATTTGCTGCAGGTTATGTGTTTTGCGCTGTTTCCATTTTCCTGTTCTGTTTTCTGTGATTGTTTCTCCTTTGTAATGTTTTTTTCCATGCAGGTTTGTTTTGTGTTTGTGTGTTAGTCAAATTTGTATGTTTTCTAGTCTAATTTTTGCATTTGTAGGACCTTTTAAAATTGACTGTGAAATAATTTATTTGCATGGTTTTCGTAGCTCACAGCAAAGATCCATGGAAAAAGTTTCACATTTCCAAGCTATTTTTTCCCTGCTAGTCACATTGTAGCACAAAAAAATCTGTTTAACGGGAAAGAGCAAAAGGATCTTTTCAACAATGATCTTGAAATATTGGACCTCTTAATCTAATTAGAGTTGCAATGCTGTCTTTACCTTTAAATATCAGTAAACAACAAATCAAAATCTATTCAGATCTGGGTTTGGACATAGACTGGGCCAATCTAACACTTTAATATGTTCAAATAAAAAAAATTACAGTGTAAATCTGACTCACTGTCCTAAAAAGTGGACCTCATCTGCAGGTCTTGTTTTGCTCCAAATGGTTCGTAGAAAACCACATTCCGTCTTCCTCTAGTTTTTGTGTGACTGTGGCCTCCTTCTTTCCATCTATCTCATAAGCCAAGTGTGGCTAATAGCTATCCTAGCAGCAGATTCTCCTACATGTGCGTTTTTCTTGTATTAGCGTAAGACTATAAGCACGAGCCTCTCTCCTCACTTACCAATTTAAACTGTAAAGAAATGTTTAAAACCTCACTGCAAAAAATGGAAATCTAAATAAGTAATTTTTTTTTTTTAAATAAGTGCAGTTTATCTTGAATTAAGGAGGTGAGTGAGATACTATGCCAATGGAACAAGACAAGTTAAATAAAAAAAAAAAAGTGCATTGTATGATTTCAAGTGCATATTGTTTAATTATCTTATTTTAGGAGTAAAAATACTCATTCCAGTGGCAGATCGTCTTATTTAGCTGCTCAAATTAAGGCTAAATACATTTATTTTAAGACATTTTTACTTATTCAGGGCACTCATTTTTTTAGTACTTATCTTTTATGCTCTGCTTTGTGTCGCCCTTTTGCATATACATTTAATTCACTAAATGCCTGGTTGTAGAGGAACAAAATGTTGGAAAAACTGCAGTGCTGATGTGGCACGCCCTGCTGCTGAAGCGACTAATGGCTTCACTGCACCTTCATTGTGAGTAAACTATTAACAAGCTTGAGTAACCAGGGTCTGGTTCTTCCGGTGTGATCCCCCTATTTTTCACCTGTTTGAAAATCCCTGCGGCTCTGTTGTTGGTAGTAACTGATTTTTTGTGGTAGTTTGCTAACTGTGTGTCAAATCTGGTTCTTCCAGATGCATGCGTTTCCTCCTCCTAAAGCTTTTACAGCACAATCGGTTTGGAAAGGAGAGCTATTTTTAAGTGAGGCAATCAAAAGAATAGTTCAAACTTTATTTAAAAAGGGAAAGTTTACTTTTCGAACAGAAATGTTGACAATCCATACTGATTTCTGATTCGCACTGTTGTCCTTTGACAGGTGACAAAACAAAAGCATTTACAATGAAGATTAATTCTTTCATTTCTGAGATCTCCTCTGACCAGAACTAACAATCTCAAATGAGTGTTAAAAAGTAATTTAGCTGAAAGAACAAAGAAGATTCTGCTTTTCAACTTTTTGATTAAGAGACAGTGCTTTAGCCGTGGATACATTCATTCTTTGCAGGATTCATTTAAGATCAGTGGGTTGATTAAAACATAAATCTGTCAGCGTAAACAAATATATTGAAACCAGTGTTGCTTTAAATCCCTTTTATAGATATTTTATTGGTATTTCCAATAAATAGGCTATAAATGCCGGAATGTGTTAGCTCCAAAGTACATTACAGACTTTTTATCAGTGTATTAACTAACCAGACCTCTTAGGTCCTCTGAATTAAATCCATAAACCCAGAACTAGAACCATGCAGGACATTTGACTGTGTTCTCTAACCATTTTTTTAGTTAAGTTTCCAGTCCAACTTCCTTTTCTCCCCTCAAGAATCAGAAATAACAACTTTTGTTGCTTTTTAAATAATCTTATTTACATTTTTATTCTGTTCAATTAATCTTGCTCATTAATTATTTAATTACCTTTATACCACTAAAATGTAGAGGAGATCAGTGTTTTTTTTCACACTCATTGTATCCGAGTCAGTGCTGTAGACTATCATTTAGAAAATGGATCAAACAGGTTATGGGTCTGAATATTTGGCGGGAAACACATTAAAATCACTGTAAGACGACTTTATGGTTAGAGAAAGTGATTTTTAAGGATGAATAGAAGAAATGTTTTATTTTTCCTGGATGGGAAGCAAAATGTCTTCAAACTTGGAAACTAAATCCAGTGGATAATTTTTTTTTTTTTTACAGATTTGGAATGACTATGACCTGGATGACTGAGAATCTTCACCAGCATATAAAGATAATAAACAAAAACCCAATCATGGCAGAAATAAAAAAAATTCTATAACTTACTTTTATAGTTAAACATTTAGAAGCTCACAGGTGTTAAAATATTAGAGTTCTCATTTGGTTCTTCAGAAAATGTAACTGGAGATCAGGTTAAGGATAGAATGGCTGAGAAAAAGGAGTAACCTGCTCTCATTAGGCCACCTAGTGGACAGATTATGTCACTACAAGGATCAGTGTGTTGCATTGCTTATTTTAAAGTAAAAAAATAAATAAAAATGACCAAAACCTAATAAATTGCTATATGTTGACCTGATGCATACCTTAACTCCATGATAGAGCAGAAAATGAATGTACTAAGCAGATTTTTAGATCCCAGAGATCCCTGCATTAAGAGAATTTAACCAGTTTTCACATAACTTGCTTTCATGATGAGCCGCTTAGTAGGATTGCTGCGTCCCCTAAACGAGGCTTCATATGGATTTCATAAGTCTTTTCCACCTGAGGTGTTGATCTCTAAAGCTCCCCCAGAGTTATCATGAACTCCTCTCAACCTTTGCTTTCACTACAGGCGCCTTGATGCAGATAGGTTGATGCAGATTTAAGTTAGTCTTCAAAGTTTATGAGTCCTTTCTTTTGATATTTTGTTATAAACTGTCTATTTTACCAGCTTTGTTTTCAAAAATTGTTGTCATGTATTAAATACAAACTTGTTTGAATAATGTGAAAGGCAGAAAATATAGGATCCCTAAAAACTGCTTTTGAAGACTAAACGGCTTAACTACTGATGGCAAAACGTCTGTGACTTTTATCAGTAAAACCACAGAAAAATTGTTATGAGTTCTTAAATTAAACTGAGTTTTTGCTTTAGCGTTTATTATATTAGTTAAAACAAAATAAACTAAACTATAAACATTACTCAGAAGACTCTTGATGCCTTGAATCTTTCTTTCAGGGTCACCAGAGACACACAGGATAAAGAATAACAACAAATAAATTGAGACATCTTTATTGTACTTAATGGAATCCAGTGACAGTGACACGAGGAAAAAGTCCCATCCCTCCCCCTCCCCTTTTACACACTTGACCTGAGAGGGAGGAGGTGCAGGGTGGGATGTACCGTGATCCTGCTGTAGTCATTAAATTAAAACAGAACAGTGAAGACACATCCAGGTGAATTTCCACAGACACGCAAAGCATGCATCCAAAAAAAGGGACTTCAGGGAATGCAGTAATGCTTTGTCTCAAGGTATAAGACAAAATCGATGTCACTTAAAATAAAACACAAAGTAACAAGAACAAAAAAAAACAAACAGCTGCTTTGTTTAACTGAAGTTGATCCATGATAATTCATTTTCCATCAAGGTTCCACTTACAGGAAAAAAGCAAAACAATCAAAGAGACGCTACCATTCATAATGGGATATGGTTTAAATATGAAGTTTCATAGCTTCACATTTCATGTTTTTTAATGAATGGTTTACTTAAATGGACAACCGTCAAATAAAATTCAGCTTGCCTCGGTAAAACTAGGCCTTTCCACTGGCTAGCTTCCCTGCTGTGTTTTGTAAAATATAAAGTCAAGTGGAGCGCAGAGGCTCAGCTTCAATCGTCCTCGCTGCCACTGGCTGATCGATCCTGCAGGAAAACAAAAACCTCAGTTAATCTTTCTCATTTAACATCAAACAGCAGAAATTTCTGTTGGAAAGGAGACTTTCAGGTTTCCTGCACATTTGATAAAGATCTATAGCCGGGGTTCCCAAACATTTCACTACACCGACTGAGGAGCCACTAGTATACATATATTTGCTTTTATTTACACATATAGCGAAGTATTTACATCCATTAAAAAAGAAATTTATTATTGAGATTGCATTTGATTAATTCATCATTTTAAATATGTTTTTAGTTATACAGGGTTTATACATGAATGAGTAACTGTTATTTAATGCAAGGCAAAATCCTTCACCATCTTCACCATGGACAGGCTGCAGCCATGTCCCGAGTTCCTCGTTTTCCCGCCACTTTGGTGCATTTGCATTTCCCCCCCCCTTTCTCCAGCCTTTTCTCCGCCTCAAGCTTCTTTTCCGAAGCATTTTAATGCCATGATTATCAAATTAAATGAATTTTAATGCCAATCAAGGCTTTAATTTAAAAAATAATAATTTAATGACTTAATGATTTTTTAATGACCCGCGGAAACCCTGTTATAAATGGGACATTATATTTTATTGTGTATTCTACAATTTAATGATATATTTAATATGTCAATCATGTTTTGGATGAAAAAAAAAATAATTTAATGTTGCATAAAAAATTATGTAACATTCAAACTATATGTTTTATATATATTTGGCCCTCCATCCAGCCATGATCACCCACTCTCCGTTTTGGGAACCTCTGATCTTGAGTTCTGACCTAAGAGATAAATAAATACTATTTTAAGTGAATTTTTGGGAGATATTTGTACATCAGGCAGTTCAAGGACAGGAGAGATGAAGAAATGACACAAGAATGGAAAAATATATAGGAAAAATATGAGGATGGAGGAAAGGCAAAGGAAACAAATGAGTAAGAGGAGGAAAGACTGAAGAAAGCAGGATAAGAAGGAAAATTATAAAAAAAGGACGGACAAAAAAAAAGGAAAACCAAGGATGGAACAGGAAAGTCAGAAGAAGAAAAAGGAAAAGAGTAAAGAAAAGTTAAAAATTGAAGCAAGAAAAAAGCAAAATGAAGACAAGGAAGAGCTGAAGGAAAACCACTGGAAGCAATGAAAGAAGAAAGGAAGACCAAAATATGCAGCCAGAATAAGGAATAAATGAAACAAAGGAAGCAAAGTCACAGGTAGGAAAGGACGATGAGCTGAGGAATAAAATAAGTGTTTTAATGGGTGTTTTCATGGATCGCTTTGGGTCTGAATACATTTGGAAAAAAAGAAAGGATGAAAACATATTTCCTATGTGTGCAGGAACCCATCTTTCTGTGTCCCCCTCAGTCTCTCACCTCCTCCTGCTCTTCCTCGCTGTCATCGTCACTGACCACAGGTTTGGCCCGGGAGCCTCGGCCCCTCCTCCTCTGGCCCTTCCCCCCTCGCTCCCCCTTTTCTTTCCGGCTGAGTTTGATCTTCACCTTCACCGAACGAGCTGATGAGGGAAAAGGGCAAAAGGTCAGAACAAAGCGCCGGCTTATGCTGGGACACCCACACCCACCCGCTGATCCTCACATTCAGACTCAGAGCCTTCGTCTATCTCCTCCTCCTCTTCCTCACTCTCCTCTCCCTCGCTTTCGTCCTCCTTCTCGATTTTCTGCCGCACGCTCGTAAAGACGGACTGGAGCACGATGGAGTCCTCGTAGATCTGCAAGGTTCACACGACTCATTACGTCCAACTGGACTGAACGGAGGAATAAAAGGAGCTGAATCAGCTGTAGAAGGATCTTACCAGAGAGCCCTCCAGGTTGAAGGTCTGGGCGTTCTGACACAGCAGCATTACGTCCTTCTCCAGATCGTTCAGGTTGCGGTATTTGTGGCTGCGGATCCTCTCCTAAAAGCAGGCAAGGTGTGAACACGGGGAAAAACACCCGGAGCAGCAGATTTAGTCTTTTTATTCCTCACCTTGATCTTCTTGAAGTCCACCGGCTTGCGGATGAGCTCGTAGTACTCCGGCAGCTCCTTGCGAGACGGCAGCTGGATGAAGACTTCGCTCAGCTGTCGGCCGTTACTGCAGGAAGAAAACAGATCAGCCGAGGAAAAATGGCCGGCCTGCATTGGTCAGGACCAAAACAAAGTGGTCCAAAGAAAGCTCACCAGTCGGCAGAAATTATGTATTTGAACAATGATGCAATTCCTTCTTAAAGAAAACTCTACATAATGAAAACAGAAGTTTAGCCAGAGTTATGCTTGGCTAATAATGTGAATCATTTGGTAAAAGAAATCTGACAAACGATGAGAAAAGAAATGGTAGATATAACAGCTTTAGTTGCAGAGCCACAGGGAAAACAACACACTGATTACACTCAGATGTCAGAGCAAATAAAGACGGCCGACGAGGCAGAAGCAATGGTGATACTTTGTGGACTAACTTTAACGGCGAGAAAAAATTAAATAGGAAAAGGCATCGGATAAAGGAGGGGAGATGGACTGAATAATTCTTTCAAATCTGATATTTTCAGCAGGGATCAGTTGATCAATTTTACCTCCAACATGTTGGTGCTGAAAACCAATAAAAAAGATTATAAAAAAAGTTACAGTTTTTCTGTCAGTAAAGGCACCAAAACCTAAAAAATAAGCAGGTTTCAGACTTGAAGCACCACAGATGTGAGAATTAATCAGAAATGAAGCAGTTTCTTCTGTTGATGAGAATTTCTAACCCTTAAAAGAGTTACTGTTTTATCTTAACCTCCCTAAAATCATGCTGGATTTGAAGAAATTTTCAGCCTTTAGCAACTGACTGTTCTATCTGTAGTAGATTGTGTCAAACTTTTACATATTCTGCATTTGTCATTTCTTTATTTATAAGCCCTTTGGATGCTTCCATCTTCTTTTCTTTGAATGATCAAAATAAAAAAGAACAAAAATGGAGCCATTTCTTGATGTAATGCAGTAATTTCTCACTTCCTCCTAATTTGCTGCACTTCTATGTTTAGAGAACAAATAAATAAGCAAATAATAATATATTGAATAAAGGAACCAAGAGGAAATGGTTATTTTTTGTCTTGTTTTTAGTGATGCAGGTTCTGATACACTTTCCTCAAAAGAGAAATATTGTTTATATAAATAGAATAGTTAAATAAATATAAAATTAATCCTGAAAGTAGGAAAAAGAAATAAAATGCTCCAAATTACAGCTCTGCCACAGCGACTGGAAGAGGCAGATCAGAAAAGTATGCAGTGCTTCTTACCCGTCCTTGTATTTGACGACAGCATCTACAATCTTCTTCATCTTCTTAGTGAGAGACGGCGGGTTGGGGGAGAGCTTCTCTGCAGGCGGGCGGCCGCGTTTCTTTGCCTTCTTCCCGTCGTCGTCCTTGTCCCGCCCTCGGCTGCTGGAGCTCGGTGTAGCCATGCCGCCATCGAGGTCGCGGTCTCTCTTGCGTTTTCTCGTTGTCTTTTTGTGTCGCACTTCCTCTTCTATATCCTCCAGGTTACCTTCTTCGATGGCCTGCGGTGAGAAGAACAATCAGTCCACAGCTCGCTTAAAAAATAAAAAGAGGTTTTAACTCCGAGGATTTTGTGGTTTGTCACCTTGAGCCACTGTTTCTCAGTCAGCGAGTCGCTGTAGTCCACCTCTTTGCGCTGACGAGAACCCCGGCCAAACATTTTCTCCTCCTCCTCTTCGCAGGTCAGCCTCTCTACCTCGGCGTCGTCTTTTAGGATCCACCCGGGCATATCGTCCTCTTCCATCAGACGTGGTCTCCTCTTTGGGTTGCGCGCGTCTTCGCGGCGTCTGTCCAGGTCCATTCGCTGGTATAAAAAAAACATGAAAAATTAGAAATCAACATTCCAAAATGATTATTTATTTGCCAATAAAAAAGTTTTGACTTGCCATAAAAAGTTCAAACTCTTCTTCACTTCTTGCAATCATCTGATTGACAGTCTCATCATCCGGTACCTCATCCTCCTCCTACAAGAAAAATCAACAACTTTTATTTCTGGGATATCTTACTGCCTTGGAAAAGTATCTTATGTTTTAAAGATTATGAATCAAATATTGACAGAATTTTTTTCAAGGGTTCCCATAAAATAAAATTAATAATAAAATGACAGAATTCCTTGGAATTCCTAAAATTAGAGGTGGGATGGGGTAATGCTGACCTCATCCTGCTCCTCGTGCTCCAGGATGGCCTGTAAGAAGGCCCGCCGCTCATAGCCAGAGGACTTCTGGTCGAACATGCCTGCCTGGATGACCTTCTGGTCCACGTTCAGCTTGTATTTGGCCGCCGCCAGGATCTTTTCTTCCACACTGTTGACGGTACACAGGCGGAGCACTCGGACCTCATTCTGCTGCCCGATACGGTGGGCTCTGTCTTGGGCCTGCAGATCCTGTGAGAAAAAAAGCAAAAACAGGCCTGTTAAACATCTCCCCATTTTGAAGGGAAAAGAGGGTGCAGAAGCTTTCAGACACTCCTGTGATCCTGCACCTGGTGAGGGTTCCAGTCGCTGTCGAAGATGATGACCGTGTCGGCAGACTGCAGGTTCAGGCCCAGACCTCCAGCCCTGGTGCTCAGCAGGAACACAAAGTACTCGCAGGCTGGGTCGTTGAATGTTTTCAGCAACATGCCGCGGTCTTCTGCTTTGGTCGTTCCTTGAAAAGCGGATATGAAAAACTTCTTTAAGAGACTAAAGTACCGCAAAATAGTCAGCATTCAGCAGGGGGTCCAAACCATGGCCTACGAGCCGCTCACAGCCCTCTGAGGGATTCCAAGTGGCTTTCAGTCACAATTATTAATGGTTTAAAAGTTTATCGGTTCAGGGAATAATTTAGATTTATTTTCTTTTATGAGATCAAAGCATTTTAAAAAAAGAAAAAGATGCAGAACATTGTTTTCACCTTTTATCTGTCACGTTTTTATGTCTTGTTTTATTTAGTTGCAAACAACATCCAGACTTTTACTAGGGAACCAACTTACCAACACAAATTTAGCTGCGTTTTCTTTTTAAAAAGGGCAAAATACAAGACTTTTAAGTTTAAGTTTCTTATATGCAATTCTTTACAGATTAATTTTCTACAGAAATCAGATTACTTTTCTGCTTTTATAAAAGATATTGTATGTTTAGCTCAGTGTGGAGCATAATGTAGGTTTTGCAATTTCAGCTGAATTCAAATTAATCTTCAACTTGATATTTTTGGCTGACAATTGTAAATAAAGATACAATATCTGTGCATTTTCAGCTTATTTCCATAATTATTTTTGTTATTTTTATTTATTAATTTTTGTTCTGAGGATATTTCCACACTAATGTGTTAAAATAATCATTAAAAACCAGCTTCATAGCACAATAAATATACTAAACAATCGCAATAAACCTGATTTACTGGAACAATGAAGGTCAAACTGGATACATTACAGAACGTGCCGTATTTCTACTAAGTTTTAATTTTATTTTAAAGATTTATAATGCTGAAATATTGCCATAATGAAAAGCAAATCAAAATCCTTTACAGTAAATACTGCCAATATTTGGTTGGGGCTCCTTTTATATGAATAACTTCTTGAATGTAGGAGATGAGATAAGCCTCCAACAATTTTAGGGTTTAAAGAAATCTCAGGTTGATTTTATAATTTTTTTTCCTTCCACTCAACCTGCAGTCAGTCAAATGATTAAAAAGATTAGGTGAGCCACAAAAGAACCAATTTGCTGTTGGTATCAGTTACAAATAACATTTATGGAGTTAAACAGTTTTTTTAACACTCATTTTAATTAATAATCTAGTGGGTTAAAAGTATTTCAGTTTGGTTTTCAAAAGTGGAAATGTAAATGATGTTAATTTAAATAAAGGCTCAACTTGTATTAAAAAAAAATCTTTGTGTGATGAGATTTTTAGATTGTTCTTCCAGAAGAAAAAAAAAATTATTTTGGTCATTAATTCAGGGACTTCTGTGCATATCAGAAGTAAAAAGGGGGAGAAAAAATAAATCAAAAAGTTACCATCCAAACGCAGGTACTTGAAGTTGCGGTAAGCAAAGTAGTCCTCCATGATGGTCATTAGCGAGGTCATCTGACAGAAAAGCAGCACTTTGTGTTTGGTGGCTCTTAGCTTGGGCAGAATGCGATCCAGAAGCTCAAACTTTCCGGACGCACGATACAGCTCAGGACTGAAAAAAAAATAAAATAATGATTTAACTTGCTACAAAATATAATAAAAATATAAGCTACTTTCATACTTAAGGAACGTAAATGTAGTTGAGCATACCCCGTCACGATTCCACCAGAAAACCCGAGATGCTCAGAAAAGGACTCCTGTAAAAAAAAAAAAAGAAAAGAAAATATTATTTATTCTTTAATCTTAGTGTAAAAAAAAAAATCAACTTATAATTTTTAATTTATGATTTCCTAGATTAGACTTTGTGTTAACCGATTGACAACATCCAATAAAGGGCAGGTTATCTTCCCTAAAGCAGTGTGTCGCAGTGAGCTTGTCGCAGATATTTTTGATTTATGCCAATATTGAAGCGTGGTCTGCGCTATGCTATTCTACGCCACAACGCAAGACGGACAATCATCTAGACCCACTTGCTGTGGGTCTAGATACAGCCGAGGCGGTGAGGAAGTGGGGGCAAGTTTGTGCGACAACAGAGGGACATGAGGGCGAAAGAGAGCGGGGATCCAGGAGGAAAAAGGGTCCCAGCGTTCTCGCGCACCTCGCTCTTCTAATGATCCATCTTCAGGAGTTGGTTTCCACAATAGCAGTCATACAAACAAAACAAGCCGGTAAGGTACCAAACAGTAGTGTAGAGCGGATGTAGATTTGACCAATCGGATGCCTCCTGCCTGTGGTCACCTACAATTTTGGAGAGGTGCAGCTGAGTGTCTGTGCAAAGGGGCGGGGAACATTTGCATTCACTGTGACACACAGGCAGACGACCTGGTTTCTGAGTATAAATCAGCACTAAGAAGACATTTTTTTCAGTGTTTTAATGTTACTATCATACACTAGGGGGCACGGCTGCTCATTCTTAAATGGAACCTCAATGGTGTTTGCAAGAATAGCAATGCCAGAGCAGAGACATGCTAGGGCAGAAACACAAATGGATCAAGAGTTCGGTTTGGGATTAATGACCATGTTTGATGGTGAAAAGGATGCAGAATGGACTGATGTGGTTCTT